GAGAGAGAGAGAGAGAGAGAGAGAGAGAAACATTGATGTGAGAGAGACACATCTATTGGTTGCCTCCTGCACCCGCCTGAACCATGGCTGGGGATCAAACCTTCATCCCAGGCATGCGTGCCCTGGACTGTGAATCGAACCTGCAACCCTTAGGTGTGTGGGCCAATGCTTTGACCACTGAACAACACCAGCCAGGGGTGAAAACCTTTACGTTTTGCTTCAACTTCAGAATAATTCTGATTTTACTTACCGCAATTTTTCCGAGATCGATGCCATAATTCAGCGAATTCCATGAGCATTGCTTGTAGTTAGGTGTCCAGGACTCCTCGAAGGTTTCCCGCAGGCACTCCCCCTTTTCTCCTTTGAATCCATCCCGACCTGGGATCCCAGGGGCACCAGGAATATACACCCGCAGGCCCTTGTAAGCACATTCCGTTATACTAGATCGGTGGGAAGAGGAAGGGAAGAGATGCTCTCACCACTCAAGATTCAAAGACTCGATCTGATTAGAACTGCATTTATTCTGAGTCCTTAGAGGCCAGAAACCTTTCATACCCCTTGCTCATGTTCTAGACGAGTTATTATAGAGAACTGACTTTAAAGTTATTTCTAACATACTGTGATTTCTTTAAGTTGCACAGACTTCACATTTTTTTACGTGGAGGACGCGCATGGGGTAACCCTTCTGAGAGCCACCCCACTCCTCCTCCCTGAGAGGGAGGCAAATGACCTTATTTGTGACTACTAGCCTCCAACAGGTGGCAGTGATCTCTCAAACATCTTGAGGATTCTCTGTTTTCCTTGGCGGGGAGGGCAGCTGCGGGTCATGCAGAAGTTAAGCACATGATGCTAGAGCCTGGTTCTCTGGATTTTAACCCTGACTCCGCCACCACTAGCTCTGTGAGATAGAGCAAGCTGCTCGAGGTACCAGTGCCTGCTGCCTTCTTTGTAAAATGGGGGAAATAACAAAGGTTCTTACCTTGTAGGGTTTGTATGAGATGTGAAATGATATGCAACGTGTGCTTAGAGGTGCCTGGTACACAGTAAACACTGCGTATGTCAGCCATGGTTACTCTCATTATTCCCCCCAGAGCATGTGAGGCAGTGACGTGGGCAAGTGTGACCACTCCGTAGGGTGGGCCTTATCAGAGTCTAGATCTGGATGAGACAGCATTAGCGAACCCTCCAGTTAACACACAAAAGCCACACACACCAGTGCAGTTACATCAGTGGGAAAGGTGGGATTTCGATCTCCATCTGTCTAATTCCTGAATGGGACCACTTATTAGACCCTCCAAATCTAGACCCATTCCACTTAAATGTTTACTTTAACATTTTCCCATTTGTGTAGATTGTCACAATCTACAATTCTTTACAAATATACTATCACTCTATATCAATATATTGTCCAATCAGAACAAAACACCAGGTTCCTTATATATTAAAATAACTTCAAACTTATCTTTTAAGTTCCCCCTCTGGAAATAGACATGGTTGTATTCTAAAATCCAGTAATGACACCTTATGTCTCTAATGTTCACCCATCAATTTGCTTTTCACACCACCAATTTAATTTTTGTTTTGACAGATGATTTTTGTGACGTTGACGAGTGCTCTTTTTCTGATTGTAAGGAAAAAAGGACACTGCCGCTTATTTACTACCAGAGAAATAAAGAGAAGCAACAAAACTGCAAAAGTATTAGAAAACATGCTAAAGTATAAAATAGTCTAAAACAGTGTAGTTAATTGTAGACAATTTTCATTACAGTAACTTCATTCACTGACAGTAGCAGATACACGTAATGGTTGGACACAGATTTCTAACGAAAGAGGAGAAGCAATAAGATTCCTGGTATTCTTTGATTTCTCGGTTGCCACAACTTGGAAGGAGAGATTGCTCTTAGCATGGACAAGGAGTAGAGGCTAGGGATGATGCTAAAAATGCTACAATGCACAGGGCAGTCCCCACAACGAAGAATCATCTGCCCCCAAATGTCTACCCTGCCATGGTGGAGAATTTTTATCCACCTTTTAATCTAAAAATTGCATTTCCGAGACCACATCATTGTATTGAATTTGGTTTCATAGGTGCCACATCAATCTTCTTTTCATTTTAAAATGCTAACTCAGCTCGCCTTTAGCACCTACCAGGGCGGGGTAAGATAAATATCTGTGGAATGAGCCCCTGTTTCTTTCACTGGACTGGCCACCAGGGGGCAGAACTTGCTGGAAGCTTGAAAGAAATGCTTTGAAAGATCCTGTACAAAGAAGTTGCTTTATAGAGCCTGTTGAAACTTTCTATGTGGACCTCTCTCCCCTCCCTCCCTCCCCTTCTCCCCCTCCAGCAAAACCAAATCCAAGCTACAGGATGCACCTGAGCCTGGCTGCGAAGTAAGCTTTTCCAAGTCGGGCTAGAGCTGTGGGAAACCGCAGGTTCTGGAAATCTTGGGAGGGAAAGAAAAAAATTGCTAGCTTGATGGGGAAAAGGGTTATGTTGTAGATCATAACTACAAATTCACAAAATGCAACCTCCACAGGAACCACATTCAGTTGGTACCGTTTAAAGCAATTTGGGCATTTAACATGGAACGGCAGCGCTGGACACAATTGTGCTTTGTGGAACAAAATTACACGGCACATCACCAGAAAGAGCCGTGTGAAATGGCAGGGATTTTTTTTCTTCTCAGAGCTTTTGAATCTGGTTGACAGCTAGCTGCCTGGGAGCTTGGTTTATTAGCTGCCTTTACAAGGGCAGCTGAACATATACAAACCAGGTTTGTTTTGTTTTTAAATTAAAAATGTCCCCTCCCGTGTCTTGCCATGCCTGTAGACCATCCTTGTTGCGATTAAGATTGATGTAAGGATTGACCATGTTATGTGCCAAGGACTACGGTAGTTGTGACAGGGTCACTCTTGCCCTCCCCCTGTTTGTTGACTTTGAGAGGGAAAAAGCCCTAAGCAAACACACGTTCCCATAGATGAGCCCTTCAGAAAGCATGTGGGCTCCTTATTTGCTCTCCTGGAAACGGTCTTCTCCCTCCGCTCAGCTGTGATGCTGGTACCTGGTGACCACAGGGGAAGACCGGGGGGTGTCCGAAAGCGCTGGCGGCCTATCTGTCCAAACAGAACCATGCAGCGGGTCCTTGGAAGGGTTAGTGCTGGGCCCTTCATTTCCCCTTCCGACCAGAAACCCTCAGAACCACCCCGGCCCCGGGGGCTGTGGTCTCCAACCAAGTAAATTGCAGCCCATGCGCCCTGGGAGGATGACCCAACATGACTCATGGTCTTCAAGTTACAAAGCGCTGGAGGGAGGCTCTGCAAGGGTTTTGCTCTCTCCGGCCGGCAGACGTGGCCACCAGTCCCCACAAAGGCCACGTTGCATGTCCCGGCCCAGCCCACCCAGGGAATCAGTAGGTCCGGGGTCTCCAAGCAGCTCTCGGGCCAACGTGCTCACCTCCCCGCGCTCCTCACCCTCCTCACCCTCCTCTCGGGGCTGCTCTCAGCCTGGCCATCCTCAAAATGGGGTGAAGGCCCGGGGGGGCTCAGAGGCCAGGCATTACTGGGCAGATCCCCGTACTTTGGGGCATCCCACCCGTTGCATCTCCCCCCTCTTCCCCCATTCTGGTCTCCCCTGAGCGCCCCAGGTCACCCCCCAGCCACTACACGGAGCGCAGGTCCTTCCCTGCACGCAGACTCGGACAAAGCAGGACACCCAGGCGCACGCGGTGAGTCACACACACACACACACACACACACACACACACACACACGCACACACACGTACACACACTTATATACACTGGCAATATATATAGTTGTGGAAACAGGCTGACGGTTTGTAATCAGAGTCAACAGATGGAATTTCATATGTAAAACAAAAGAGAAAAAAGGAAGACGAGGACAGAAAGTGGAAAGTGAGGAGATTTCGGCAGAAAAGGACAGTTCCTATTCCTCCACCTGGGGATGGGAC